CAACTAGGTACAAGAAAAGAAACTGAATTAAAACTCACGACTTTTTAAAAAATTGTTTTTGAAGGGGTACCTTTGACAACAAAACTTTTGCTTAAAATACAGAATCATAAAGGTGAGTCAAGATTATCTGATCTCTGCAAGACCATACCCAAACTCTTTAAAATGTGCCCCAAAGATATAGAAAGGTCCTTAAAGTTCATGGTCTCCATTTCTTAGCACCATGCTGATCACGTCAGGCATCTGTAAATATTCATTGGTCAGTTAGTTGGTGAAAATACTCAGGGCCAATATACTGAGGTTCAGTTTTTGCAGTTATGTTTGTTAATTAGGCTTTTCTGTGGTGTTCCTGAGTGTAGGCCTTTGGGGAACTTAAGCAGCTTTTAAAAAAATGTTTATTGATATGCTTAGTTTTCATATGAACGAGCATTTACTAAGTGCCTACTATGTGTTGGTCCCTGAACTAAGTACTGAAGAGAGGCAAAAACAGACCCCACCCTCAAAGAGGTCATTTTCCAGTGGAAGAGATAGCATGTAAATAATTAGGTGTGTATCAAATGCCTAGAAAGTAGATGAAGGGTAACTTCCATTTACAAATGTTTCTCTTCCCTCCCCAACACATTGAGCCATCCCTGGTAACAAAAAATGGAAGTAAAAGAAGAGAGTATTTCAGCAAAACTAATGAACAAATCAATTAAATCTGACAGTATGTGCAATGTTCCATATCACTAGTCTCTCCCTCCTCCCCAAACTCTCCTTCCCATGAAGGAGGCAAGATTCATTTTCTCATCTTTTCTTCAATGGCAAGCTTGTTGATTACACAACCTGCAATTTCCTTTTCTTTTGTTTGTTTCATTTACGTTGTGTATATTATTTTTCAAGTTCTGTTTCCTTCTTGCTGCCTCAATTCACGTAAATCTCTGCCTTTTGAGAGCTCCTAAGTGGAAATTTCTGCCTTAAATCACTATTAAAGGTGAAGGTGGTTTATTTTTTGGGGTGGGAGGATGGGGAGTGATGCTATGTTTTCATTGATTATTGGTACCTGCTGGGTCATTTTTAGTCTTAGATCATTACCTGGGGATGCTGAGGGGTTAAATAAATTAGCCAGGGACACACAGCTAATATGTATCTGAAGCAAGACTGGAAGGCAGGCGTGATTCTGAGGCCATAACTGTCTCCATTGGTTGTTGAAAAAAAAATAAATATAGGCATACCTTGGAGATCAATATGGTAAATATCTCAATAAAGTGAGTCACATGAATTTTTGGTTTTCCAGTGCATGTAAAAGTTATGTTTACTCTATACTACAGTCTGTTAAACGTGCAATAGTATTGTGTCTAAAAAAAAGTACGTACTTTAATTTTTAAAAAAAAGCTTTATTGATAAAAAATGCTAATCATCATCTGAGCCTTTAGTGAGTTGTAATCTTTTTGCTGGTGGAGGATCTTGCCTCAATGTTGATGGCTTCTGACTGATCAGGGTGGTAGTTGCTGAAGGTTGGGGTGGCTGTGGCAATTTCTTAAACTAAGTCAACAATGAAGTTTGTCCCATCCATTGACTCATCCTTTCATTTGAATATGTAGAGGTCATTGTCGGGTTGTGAACTGGCCTAATTTCAATATTGTTGTGTCTCAGGGAATAAGGAGATCCTAGAAGAGGGAGAGAGAGATGAGGGAATGACCCATCTGTGGAGCAGTCAGAACACATACAATATTTATCAATTAGGTTGATACCCCAAAACAATTACAATAATAATGTCAAAGATCACTGATCACAGATCACCATAACAGATATAATAATAATGAAAAGTTTGAAACATTGTGAGAATTACCAAAATGTGACACAGAGACACAATTTAAGCACATGCTATTGGAAAAATGGCGCCAATAGACTTGCTCAATGGGGTTGCCACAAACCTTCAACTTGTAAAAAGGATGCAATATCCGTGAAGTGCAATGAAACAAGGTATGCCTGTAAATGAAATACTTTTAAAATGGACTTGTCAAAATGTTTTAATAGGTGTAATAGAAAGATAAAGGAGATAATAGGAGCAGAAACACTTATACTGACTCATCTCTACTGTTTTATGTTGATAGTGATATTGTTAATGGATTCTTTCCTTTTTGATATAAACATCAAATAAAGGACCACTAAGGGCCCCCCAGACTGACAAAGATGAGAAAGATGCCTGAAAAAAGAAGTGGGAGAGAATAATTTTAGCTTAATGGGCCTTAGGTTTCCAATGGCACCTCCTCCTCAGGGGTTTGAATCCCACTGAGAACAGAGTAGTCTAAAGACAAGACACTTGGCCAGGTTTTAAAAAATAAATCTTTAGGCACTGTAGAAAGCAAATATTTCTTTTCAGGTCAGATGAATTAGTTGTAAATGAATCAGAAACATGTGGACTAAGTGTAATTTTTTTTTAAATGGGGAAAAGGTGCTTGGAAAAAATAAATTTAATTAATTCAAAGTTCTAAATGTTTGAAGAAGACTGAGACATCTGATGAAGACAAAGTATTTCTACTTTGTCAATGTTATAGGACTGCTAATCCTACCCAAAACATTTTTGAAGCCTTAATTAAAATTAACAAATAGGTCTTTGGAAAAGTCAAATATGGAACATGACTGCTTTTTGAAGTGACTCATAGTTCTACTAATTTATGTGATATCTTCTACTACATGTGGATATAAGAATAAAAGGTTTAGGGTTCTTAGTTTGTGTGAAGGAATAAGACAAAATGGAGTGTAGAAAGTCAACTAAGAGCCCATTCTCTCTCTTAAATTTTTTTAAAAATTGATTTTTAAAAATAAACTAATAATCTAATTAAAATGAACCATCAAAATCCAGTTGAATTTTATTTGCATAAGATTAATTTAAATAATGTTGTATTATTAGTCAGTAAGTTGATATCATTACTCCAATACCACCTTCCCCCTACCTCAATATTAACTGGAGATTAATTAACAAGGCATTTGCAAAACTGTTCTTTCTGGTTCAGGTTGGCCACATGTACTAACTCAGTGGTTGGGTCTTTTGGGGATGTTGAATAAACCCCTTCTTTGGCAACTGAGCAAGAAGAGGCCATGATTCAATGGATTTTTAGAAAGGGAGTGATTCCTTTCTGGGGCTCTTGTATGCTCTTCTACTTCTGGCTGCTGATTGTGACTATTTTGAGCCACTTTCTATGAGGTGTGGGAGAAGAGCAGCTTTGCCCCATTCCCCCACCCTGGCTGACACACCGATGTGAGAACAAAACCACTGAAGTCAATGTTCTGTTTAGGCAAACTTGATGCTGGGTTTTATGTTTCCATGTCTATGTCTGTCCTTTCCTGATCTCAGGTGAACAAGTGTCAATCCCAAGAAGTACATGTCTAGGCTTGGAGGTCATCTTGTGAATTCCAAAGATTTGCCAGTTCTAGGTCCTTTGGCCAGAGATGAGTTGTAGCAAGGGAGTTGTAGCAAGGAAGAAGATCAGTATCAGCAAAAAAAAAAAAAAAAAGGACGAGCCTCAGCCTTGGCTCAGCTTGTCAGACGATACTTGTCAGAGGTATACAGTGCAGAGCAGAAGTAAACTATAAAATGCTTACTCGCCAGTCCCACAAAATCCCATGTTTAGATGAGGTTTAAGTATTAATTTCCTAGAAGAGTATAATAGAAATTATTACTGACCATTTGTCTCTATAAAATTCATACTTGGAGATGGTCTGTCTTGAGCATTTCTTTGTGGACAGGAAGTAAACACTGGCCTCATACTAAATTCATATTGCACATTGAGTATATTTCTACTCCTCTCTGTTTTGGAGAGACCCAGCCTAGACATAAGCCAAAATCTAAGTTAAACTAGTCCCAGGGTGCTGGAGTTGGGGGTCGAGGAAAGTCTCCTTCAGAACTAAACCTAATTTGGACTTTGAGTATCCAAAATAGATGTGCCTTTTAGTGGAAAGGAAGTAAGTTCAGTGGCCTACCCCCCACCCCAGGTTCATCAGTGGTTCTTGTTGTTAGACTTGAATAAGTACCTTCTTGTCTGATGTAACCTTATTTGATTATCTCAGATTAATATAGACCACTCACAAGTTTATTAAATATCCACCAATGCATTGAACAAATATTGTATGAGTTCCTGGGGGACATCATACCCCTGACCTCATAAAGCTTGCATTGTAGCAGGAGGGATATGCCAGTATTCTAAAATTAGGTAATAAATATAAACATGCTATTTTTGCCAGTGTTTTAATGGCAAACATTTTAAAATGAAGTTTTTGTGATAAAATAATTTATTTTATATTGGATTTGAAGTAAGGAAGACAAGATAAAATGCATTACATTACAACTCATAAATTTCAAATGCACAGGGTCAAAATGCATCATTACATTATGAACTTAAACTGACTACTAATTTGTAAAACGTTGAAAGTAATTGTTGTTGGCATGAGAATATTTTGTTAACAAGGTCAAACATACCAGTGTGAACTTACTGAGTCATAGGGTCTTCTTCCCTAAACTCAGTTTGGACTTTAAAATCCAATCACATATAAAAGGATTCTGTTAGACAGCTTGCTTTTTCAGTGCTTGAGAATAATTTTTCTAGTATTAGTATTAATTGTTTTTTTTTAAAAGTTTGATAGAATTATGCTGTGAATCCATCAGGACTAGGAGGTTTCCTGACCAATTCTCACTCCACTTTTGGTTCTTTTTTTTTTTAACAGTTAGTTCTAATTTCTTTTCTGAAATTGGATTATTTAGGATTTCTAGTTGGTTTTCTATTCATTATATTTTAAAGGTATTCCTCCATTGTTTTTGTATTCTCAGTTTTGTTAGGGTATAACTGTTCATGATATATTCTGATAATTCTTTTTATATCTTCTGGTTTTGTGGTGATTTCACCTTATTCATTTACTATTTTGTTGATTTGATTTTTTTTGTTCTCTTTTTTTGGGGGAGGGGAGGAAGTGAAGTTCATAGGTATATTTCTTTTCTTTTCTTTTCTTTTCTTTTTCAATAAAAAAATATAGAATACTTTGCTAATTTGAGTGTCATCCCTGTTCAGGGGCCATGCTGACCATTGTATCATTCCAATTTAAAATATGCATTACTGAAGTGAACACTGTTCTCTTCTTTTTAATCAGATTGGCTAGAGGTTTTCCAATTTTGTTAGTCTTTTCCAAGAACTAGCTTTTAGTTTTGTTTATCATTTCTATAGTCTTTTTGACTTCTAATTTATCTATTTCTCCTCTAACTTTCAGTATCTCTTTTTACCTATTTGGCTTTGTTTGTTTATTGACTTTTTAATATTCAAAATGCATATTTGGTTTATTAATCTTCTTTTACTTTTTGTTAATGTGAGCTTTCAGTGATATGATTTCCCCCCTTAAGGCTGCTTTAGTTGAATCCTAGGCATTTTAGTATGTTTATCATTTTCTTTCACATGGTTATTAGTTGTTTCTATGACCTACTCATTGTTTAAGATTTCATAGTTATGTCTCCATTTGGGTCTGTGTTTTCCTTTGTGTTCCTGAATTGATTATTTTTTTTATTACTTTATGGATGGCAAAGGATATAGCTACTATTTCTGTCTTTTAACACTTATTTGCAAAATCTCAGTGCCCTAATACATGGTTTGTTTTTAAATAAAAGTTCCATATGGTGCTGAGAAATACATATATTGTTCATCTTCAGTTTTATTTAGAAGATACCACAAGTCTTTTAGTTCTAGTTTTTCCAGCAATTTGTTCAATTCTATATTTTCTCTTTTATTTATTTTTCTTTTAGATTTATGCAAAGCTGAGAGAGGGATAGATATTTAAGTTTCTTCCTATGATTATAAAGTTTTCTACCATTATTGTATTACTGTTTAGGTCTTCTTATAATTCAGTTATTTTTTCATTTATGAATTTAGATGCTACGGAATTTGGAGCACCGGTTTAATATTGATATACTAGCTTATTTTCTTTCAGCAAATGTAATTTCTTTGTTTATACCTATGTTGTGAAGTTTTGTTTTTTTTATTTATGTGATAGCAATTTCTGCTTTTTTGAATTCATCTGATACATAATGAATTTTGCTCTAGCCTCTGTGTATGTCTTTGCTTTTTAGGTATGTTGTTTTAGGTGTGTTGTGTTTATGATTGCTTTCTTGCAAACAACAAATCATAGGGCTTTGTTTTCTTATCCAATGGTTCACTCTTTTTCTCTTTATTAGATTATTTAATCCATTCCCATTTAAAGTTATAACAGGTTTACATTTTCCTGCATTCATCTTTAACATTGTTTTTTTGTTTGTTTGTTTTGTTTTTTTACTTAGGACTATTTTATTCCTCATCCTTTGTGAAGGCAATATGTTGTCTTTACAATTATTTTTGCACAATCTACCTTAAGGAAACTTTATTCCCAGGGGTTCTCTTCCCCTTACCCATAATCCCCTCCTTTACTGTTTGTCATCACTTTCCCTAGTTTTGGAGTTTTAATTAACTCATTAATTTTTTTCTTTCTTTCTTTCTTTTATCTAGTTATCTAATTCTCCCTTTTTATTCTCAATTAAATAGTTAATTAAACCCCCATTCTCTCCTTTCCTCCCACTTCATTTGCTAGATTTGTTTTTCATTTTCTGTGCCTTTGTCTAAAAAGGACTAATATATCTTATTGTTATTAATTCTCTTCTCTTTCTATGTTAAAATTTTAATCTTTGATTCATAGTTCATATAATTATCCTTCTCTGTATTTCTCACAGAATTAAAGCTTCTAAGGAACCTGATTTGAGCACCCTCTTATAAAGAATTTCTACATTATTGCCTTGAAGATTTTACCCCTTCCCTCCTTTTCTCACCCTTCGATGAAAAATTGAGACTGTTAGTCAAGGGCTCCTGATCTTCTCCAATTCCAATGATAACATCATCTCAGCATCATTCCCTGGCCCATCCTCCTTTGCTATAGCCTCACATCATGAGATGGGTCCTTCACCTTACCAATGCCAATCCCTCCATTATTGCCTTAGATTCCGTCTCATTCTGTCTCATCCAAGAAGTTGTCCCTTCCATTATCCCCTTCCTCTCCCTAACTTTCAAACCTCTCCTTATCTATCAGCTTCTTTCCTGATGCTTTCACATATGGCCAAATATCCCCATTCTTAATATAAAAAAACCCTTCACTTTAACAACACATCTTTATGTTATTGTCCTGTATTTCTCCTCCCCTTTAAAAATCCAGCTGCTAAAATGTCAATATTTCTTTCCTCCTATTTTATCCTTTCTAAACTGACTTCTATCACCACTACTCTACTGAAACTGCTTTCTCCACTGTCAGCAGTGATTTAATGGTCATTAAATGCAATGATCTTTTCTCTGTATTCATCCTAGTGATCACACTGACCACTCACTCCTTCTGGATAGTCTCTCCTCCTTGGAGTTTCCTGATACTGTTCTCTCTTAGTTCTTTCCCTGCTTATCAAACTGATGTCAGTCTCCTTAGCCGATTCATTATTCACGATCTGTTTGCTTTCTGTGGGTATACCTTAGGGCTTTTCTCTCTCTATTCTCTCTTAAAGATCTCATTAGCTCCCATGCATTCAACTATAATCTCTATGTATGATGACTACCAAATTTATATATAGAGCCTTCATCTTCCCCAGGCTCTATTCCTGTATTATCAACTACCTTGTAGCAGCTCTACTTAGAAGTCCTATAGGCATCTCAAACTCAACAAATCCAAAACAAAATTTATAATTTTCCTCCAAAACCAACCCTTTCTCCCAGAACAGGACCATTGTTTTTTCCTTGCAAGACTTTAATTTTAATTTTTTTTTGCTATTCTGGATTTGACAGACATTGACAGGGAGCATTCCATTTGAAGAAAAGGTCATCCATCCCCATCAATTGCTGACCACCTATGGCCTGGAAGCAAAGCACACTTAGAGACAAGAGGTGACATATGTCAGGTGAGTCAAACTATTGCCACCACCTAGACCATCACCTCAGACCTTGATGGAGACAACTAAAGACCTAACTTACCCCGAGATCCCTGAGAATAAAAATATGTTTGAAACTACCAGCCCTGCTTCTGGCTTGGCCCATATGACCATTATCTAGGAGAATAAACCTTGTGGAGGATGCACCCCACATCCTTGCCACCACCTGCTGACTGAATGTCATCCATAGTCGAATAATCCCAAGAGATCTAAGAATAGTGCCACCCTCTCCCCTACCCCTGTTCCAATACTGGCACTGGTTATTGTTTTCATGGTTGAGCAGGACCAAAATAACATTACCAATTGTGACTGACGAGACCAATATGAGCTTGGAAGGCTCTACCACAGGTAGGGCAAAAATAGTCTATGTGAACATTTGGAGTGGAGATGTCTCTAATTTTACACATTTCATGTTTCTTTTGAGCTACTGCAATTCTGTTTTGCTCACAGAATACAGCACCTTCTTCGATGCAGGCACACCATGCTGGGCAGTCCTGTGTCAATGTTGCCCATGTATCACAATAGATTCCAAAGTTCTTCAGTGAGACCTTGAGAATGTGTTTGTATTTCTTCTTCTAATCTCCAAGTGAACACTTGCTTTGTGTGAGTGCTCAGTAAAATAGTCTTTTAGACAAACATACATTTGTCATTCAAACAATGTAGCCAGCACATTGGAGTTGCACTCTCTGCAATAGAGTTTGAATGCTTGGCAGTTCAGCTCAAGAAAGGACCTCAGTGTCCACTACTTTATCTTGCCAGATGATTTTTAGAATCTTCCTAAGACAATTCAAATGGGAGTGATTTGGATTCCTGGCATGGCACTGGTATGCTGCCTAGATTTTACAGGCATACAACAATGAGATCAGCACAATGGCTCTGTAGACCTTCAGTTTGGTAGGCAGCCTAACACCTCTTCTCTCCCACATTTTCCTTTAGAGCCTCCCAAACACTGAACTAGCTCTGGCAATGCATGCATCAACCTCATCATTTATATATACATGCCTGGAAAGTATACTGCCAAGGTAAATGAACTTATCCACAGCATTAAAAATTTCTCCATTTGCTGTTACCAATGGTTCCACATGTGGATGGTGTGGTGCTGGCTGGTAGAGAATCAGTGTCTGTTTTCTTGATGTTGATTGTCAGGCCAAAATTAGCACAAGTGGCAGAGGATTGATCCATACTGTTGCATCTCAGCCTCAGAGGCTGCATTGAGTGCACAGTCATCTGTGAACAAAAAGTCACGTACCAACTCTCCCTCCACTTTAGTCCCGGTTTGTAGCCAAGTACTTTTAGCTCAGCCCATCATGGAGTGGGGAGACTTCTTAAATAAGAGGTAAGACATCTCTACCTGTTGCTGACCTATATATAAACTTGCTACCACCTGCTGACCAACAGGGCAGGCAAGCCATAATAGCTGAAGCAACCAGGCATGCTGAGGGAGAGACAAGAGTTGTCATGTGCAGGTCAGTCAAACCACTTTTAGCATCACCACCCCTCCAATGGAGACAGCCTAGGACCCTGAGTCCAAGAAGCCCAGAAGTGTGCTCCCCCTCCACTCACACCATCAGCCCTGTTCTGGACTAGTCCCATTCCCTCCCCAGCACCGTAGCCAACATCCACAGAATCAGCTCTTGTGGGGTTACTAACCCAGAAACTACTTCTGCACTTACTTTGTTCTCTGCCTCCTCAGCAGCCACAACTACTGAAGACTCAGAAAAAAGAAAAAGTTATTGATAGTGAAGTTGTTGGTCCTGTCATATGGTTCAACGTCAGAAATTAATATGGTTTTATCCATGGAAATAGTATTAAAAATTCATGGACACCTGTTTTGCCACTGAACCTTAGGAATTTTCCATCCAACTAAGACATCCTATGTGTATTGTCTTCCCTTGTTAGAATGTGAGATACTTGAGAGAGGAGACTGCTTTATTTTTCTATATGGCTCTGCAGCACTTAATACAGGACTTTAATAAATGCTTTTTCATTTGATTGACTGAATGATGGAATCATTCATCAGCAAACATGAACAATCCTATATGTAAAGAAGGATAATAAAAGAAGATTATATATGAAATCATGAATTTCTATTCTATACATCTTGGCTTTCAAAATAAAGTATATAATAAATTCAACATGTTACTTT